TGATACACGTGGAAGCACGGGTGAGCAACGGCCGGGAACACAAACTTGGACGTCCACACACCATCTCAGCTACCGTTCCACGGTGCTCAGTGGGGATCGATCCCGGGAATCTTTCCGCCCGGTCCGCACGCAGCCACTTGCGAATCGTGGGCAGCAGCGTCCCATGATGTCTGTTTGACGACATTCCTGGGCAGAAATTTCCAGACGATATGAAACAAACCCATCTGATCTTTTTTTCTTCCTTTTCTTCTTTGCGAAATTCCATGTTCGCTTCGGGACATATTACGATTACGGTAATTCGTCCAAAAGTTGTCCAGAGCCAAAGGAGCGATTCTGGGCAATTCAGCAACTCGTGACAACCCTTTTAGGTTATTGCACCCAACCAGCAACAAACTCTCTTCTTCTCTTGGCCCTTTGTCAGCAATACGGACCTGAAACCAACCGTGCTATGCTTCTGGAAGCTTGCCATTCTAGGCCACGCCCCGAGAAACGAGTCAGAGGGCGGAAGGCTTCACTGTCAGGGCTCTCGCCTCAGTAAACATCAATTTTGAGCAGAAAAAGGCGTGCTCGGGATTGCCTCGGAAAGAAAAGCCATGGGGGCCCCGCCTGATGCTATTGTCGGACCTGGCCCGGTTGCTGATTCAGACGACAGCCCACTATCGCCCTGGAACTTCTGATTGTTGGTACAGCAGTCGGAGGTGGACCGTTTCTATGCGTAACAAACGGCGGGTCTTCTCGTTAGTCATTGCGGAATGGGCCGCTGGGACGCTTGATAATCATGTACTGCGCAACGAGGCCCATTCCGAGGCTCTTCCTGACTCGAGTCCGAGGTTCATTTTCGCAATATCTGTGTCAATTCTAGTAGGATTACCATCTCAGGCGGAGCAGCCACGGCAGCCTGTAAACTGGGGTACCAATCAGAGCCACCCGCCTCTTCCAGCTCCTGGAAGCGGCATCTGGCCGGCAACTCGTAGCCATGTGGAATCATGGATCGATGGGATGCAGGGATATGTATACATTTCCTTAAAGTATCGAATACGATGCACGATACCCGCCACCAAGTGGACCGGACGTTGAATGTTGCACATATCGCAAAAAGGACGAAAGGAAGGGGTAAGTACGAATTGGGATAACGAGTCGCAAGATGTGCGTAAAGTGGACGATTTGCAGCATGCCGCCAAGGCATTGTCTCCGTACGGTTTAGACTTCCAGACCTCGGTGAAGGCGACGGACGCCGGTGTTGGAGGAGGCCTTTGGACTCAGACGCCAAGAAGGTTGGAAAAGTTCGAGAAAAAGTCTATGTGAGAAAACTATCGCGGGGTCCTGACTCCCGCGTTAGCCGCGGAGGCCACGCCTAAAAAAGGTATTGGAAAGGGAAGAGAGGAAAACACTCAGAGAATAGACCATCCGAACTATCGAATTATGTGCCTGTGTCATCGAATGCTAGCATTCAGAGAGCTGCAAGTCACTCACGTCTCTCGCTCTCTCACACACACGCTTTGACAAACGCACACCCACCCACACTGATCACCCCTACGTTCACCCCCTCGCCCACAAGTCAGCTACCACCAGGATGTACCGCAGTAGGTATGCATTCGATCCTGGGAGACGCCAAGCAAAATATCCGTGGTGGGGGTGGCATCGTACCAGGGGACCCAGATGTTCAGAGGGTCTCGCCATGAACCACGAGCCGGACCCGAAGTGCGCCAACGACTTCAGAGGAGCTCGGGGTGCCAAGCATACTGGTGGTGCATGTTGTGTCCTTGTTCAATTCCCAACCAATAGCACATCGTGCGACTGAAGACCGCTAGACCGTGAGATGTAAGCTGTGTGTAATGTAAAATCATGAAAGCATCCTGACTTTTCAGCCCGGCGGGCCCTGGTGGGAATTTGACTTTCGCATCCCTGACGACAAGCACTCGTACTTGTATAGCAAACCTTGTCCGTAGAGGACCCTTCTGCCTGCCGCGCCCCGCACGGTCGTCGCAAGCGTGCTCTACATACTATGTACACTTGGACGGGGTTGAAGGGTCCTCAAGAAAGTTTGCGCTATTGATATCCCTCCAATTCATTTGTCTGGACGGAGAGATCACCGTGATCACCTGCTGCCTGCAAAGTTTGGTTGTACTTGAAGCGGTCAACAAGGCTGAACTGAAACACCAATAATGAACGCTCAATGATTCGGTTGAATGATTCGGTAGAATTCTGAGTTTATCAAGGTGATATAAGAAACTCCCAAGCAGCACTATCGAAGCCATGGCAGCCCGGGATCACCGACCTCTCCGCCCACCGTCTTCCGGGTCTCGGGGACGGAAGTGCGGTCGGTTGGTGGAATTGGATAACGACGGCGGCTGGAGCTATAGGCGGCAATCGGGGCTGATGAGCTTGAACCTGCCGGCCCTTGTCGGTCCATGACACGTTCATGTTGAACTCCATGGTGATGCCAGGGTGGTAATGCCAATACTGATCGGGCCCAAATCCGATGAATGTCCACCTGGATAATCTTCGGGCTTACTCCGAACCTCTCGTTTCCTATTCGATATTACGAAGCGCGCTCCAAAGTTTGGCAGAAAACCTGAATACTGACATTTATTGCGATAGAGTTTGTATTGCATTATCTGGTTGCCTGCTGTAGTAACCGTGAACGTTGGATGAAATCATTGCTAATTGCATCATCACCACGTACAAAGTTGCGAGGAAAAGAGAAACTGCTGCCAGAGAAACACCGAGGACTTCTACGAAGCTTTGGACGGAGGATGGCGCAGCCGACCTATCGATACTCCGAGGTGTTACGGAGCTTGAGCCATTAGGTAGCTTCCAAAGTGGAAGCCCCTGTCCCACACCCTTGACGAATTCCCTATAACCCTCAACCCAGAGGAGATCGTGGGGCAAAGCAGAGATCCTGAAGGAAAATGGTGCGTATTCGCAGGCAAACCTTTCCATTCGAGGGATCGCATCAGTTCTCAGACCTGCTGACAATCTATTTAACGGCCCAATACGCTTTTGAGTTGAGAAGGCCCTCGTAAATTTGATGCGAGCGAATGGGAGAATATCGCAGCGATGCGCTGAGGCTAACACATTCCGCAGATTGACTTTTAATGAGCGATGAGTCCAACATGTTGGTTCCAGACCTCTCCAAATTTCTGCCCGTTGTTGGAGCCAAGAGGACGGGCTAGTCAGTGCGAGTGATTTGTGATGGCGGTGAAGTTATCATGGGGTGTGTGAGACACAGCGCATGCGTAGTAAGAGTAAAGTTTGTGGCTTGTCGCAGACACGTTCGTATCTGAGACTGACCCGGGCCGACTTCCGAGTGATGAGATGAGGTCGGATACCGGCACCAGTCTTTTTCCGATATCTCTCACGTGATGAAAACGCCACCATATCACCAGCCACATCTCTGACGGCATGTTCCGCACGCGGGTGCCGCCTCTACCGGGTACCCACGACACAGCTGGGCAGTTCGTCGGAGGAGATCCATTTCTCGTCAGATTTTTCAACATCCAGGGTCAAAGACGCGAGAACCAACGTGACTTTCGCCGCGCGCGTAAGCCACCGAAGCAGCATCCGCACTGATCAGTACGACCGAGCCTTTTTGCGAACTTTTGGGCTGATTGTGTGCGCACACCGACGACTGGAAGCTTCGGCGACAACGGCACCATCGGAGACCGGCGTATCGGAGGCAAAACACACTTTTTGTCGTCATCCACGCGGAGTTTACGGCGATTCGGAACCCAGGCTTCCAAAAGAAAAATTCCGTTTGCACGCAAGCTTGATTAGCTCGGCGCGTCTCCATCGCAACCCATCACTCACGACCGACCTTACAACCTTGACTCGAGTCGAGACATACCACAACGAGCCATAAGAATCAACAATCTGTGTCTAGGGGCTATTGGCGTAATCGTGCTAGCCATCAAGATGATGCGACCAGCTTTCCAATTGGCAACCCTATCGCGCCGTGCGATACCGGCAGCGAGGCAAAATGCAACAGAGGCACTGTGGAGGAAGCAATTCACTGCACCAACGAGAAGTTTCAAGACAACAACCCCGCAAGCAACATATCAAAGACCTGGCGCATCGCAAACCCAATTCCGCTGGTCGCAAAGTCAGACTTCAAGCTGGATCACGTCTCGGCTCGAAACGATCTTCAGGTCATCACGCCGGACATTCCGGTTCTCCGCCAGGCAGAGCAACTCGGCAGACGGTGCTGCCAAAGAGTCGCTTTCGCTCAGTCAAAGGTTGAAGAAGCTTTCGCGCGAATATGGGTGGTCGGCCGTTGGCGTGTATTTGGCCTTGAGCGTTCTGGATTTTCCTTTTTGTTTCCTGCTCGTGCGGATCGTTGGAACCGACCGGATTGGTGAGCAATATATGCGAGTCTAAGTGTGGTGAGTCAGTACTGACACATAGGTTGTAGGTCAACTGGAGCACTGGGTAGTGTCCCACGTTCAAAAAGTGATCCCTGATTCAGTCAAGACCTGGTGGACCGAATACAGAGCCGCACTCAGCAAGGCCGAAACCGAGCAGCTGGGAAACAACGACATCAGCGATGCCGTTGAGAAGGCAACATGGGGAGTCGAGGAAGCTCAGCGCGCCAACAAAGCGGAAGCCAGTAAGTCGACATGAACTGCAATACGAGAACTCTCGTGGTCGAGGGTTCAAAAGCTCCACGAACTGACTTTGTTGTAGGCTTGGGAACTCAGTTGGCTTTGGCATATGCAATCCACAAAAGTTTCATCTTCCTCAGAGTGCCTTTGACCGCCGCGGTTACGCCAAAGGTTGTCAAGGTGCTCAGATCATGGGGATGGCAGATCGGCAAACGGCGGAGCAAATAAGCCGAAATCTGGGGCCCGTCCAGCCTCCGCTCGGCTGGTGGGTCGGAGATCCTGGGATGCCGGGCACCTCCTTAATGTATTATCAATTGAACGAGACGCTCGCCTTATTCTCGGGATTGGCATGCGAATCGGTCCTGTTTTTTTTTTCTTATTGACGACTTATAGATCCACTCACCATTTAGACCAGCATGGCAGCATCCAACAGCATTCCGCAAAGGTTGTAAACTTTGTGCCGATAATTGTATAATACAGTTGGCTTGGTTGAATAGAATTTGCTTCGATACAGAATGGTACCGGATGTGAACGGCATGATGACCAACAGACGGCACTATTTGTGTTTTCGCATTGTAATCGAAGCTGGGCTGTCAACGAGCCGTGACTCCCGAGTGTGTGGGAATGATCCAAAGTTTTGCTGAATCTTGCCATCGTCGAAACGTCATGCCCGAAGTCAAGGGCCCGGAGATGGCCTTGGCGTGGAGACTGGAACGGATGAAAGAGTTGTTGTTGACATACAGCGGATGCAAGACAAGCGAGGAGCAAAGCGTTGTCCAAGCGCATGTAGCAAACAGCGCTACTGAATGTTCTTCCGGGCTTCGAGAATCATGCTCGATTCATGGCTCCCCAACTAAAAGAGACCGCGCTTCAGTATTGGTGGCGCGCACAGGGCTGTGGTTGAGCACCAAACGTCAAAACCCCACGGCCGAGCTACTGCCTTAGTTGGACCGACTCCGCGAGGGGATTCCCAGCCGGTCATGATATCCCAGATTGATAAGGTGACGCAGGTCTCCGGCACGGCCACGGCTTTACTGCGGCGTAGTTGGACCAAGCACCGGGTGGTGATAGTGGCTGCTGGTCATAGTGGACAACGGAATGTGGCCGATCGAAGGCTGGTTGACCGGGCCTGGCCACGCGATGGTGAGAGCTTTGGTCGGTGGCCGCGATGTGCTTCCCGTCGAAGCCGACCCGCCCACAATCTCCCGAAGTCTGTAGAGCCATCCAGACCCTTGAGACGAATCTCTACCCCGTGAGCGGAAATCGAAGTGCGGAACGGTGCCACGGCACTGAATGGGGTGGCCTTTTGCCTCGCTTTGCCTTGCCTATCCGCGACTCGCCTCTTGGCTCCCCCTGGAGACTCTTGCGTGGGTCCTGACGGTGATGTCTTCCGTCAACTCTCCGCACTCGAGAGCTGAGGGAGCATAGAGTTTACTGGCCACCTCAGTAACGGACGAGGGTTGGTTCTCATTGCTCAGTCCGAGTGGGTTGCTCAATGATGGAATTCGGTTCACCGCCGCCTGACCGGGACCTGACCGTATACCTCAAACGGTAGAACACCCACAGCGTCCCTCCCTTACGTCTGCCGTGGCACTGTTGGTTCCTGCTTGTCAGGCCTCTGCATGATCACCCAGCCCGGCTCCGTACTTCTCCAGAATTTAAAGTTCTCGGTCTTCTAGAAAGAGGCCCAGGGCAGCACGTCCAACCGGTGGAACAGGTGGGAACCGGTGGGCCGTCGAATCCTGACTCGCCCCGGTTTTCCACGGAGCAGAGCCCTTCTTTCTGACTTTTGTCGTCGGTCGTTGTCAGCAATGAGTGAGATGGGGTTTCCAAAAATGATAACCATGTGGAAGCCACACAAGCTGTCTAGGTTTTGGATCAAAACTCTGTTTCTTACGCGGGGCCTGGGGGGTCCCCCAGCAACCTCGGGATCTGAAGTTGGCCTCCCCCTACTTCATACCACCCTCGGCCCTTCACCCATCACTGACCAGTACTCCATTCAGGTACCTCACGGTCAGCCTTCACTACTGCACCCTCTGCCAAAACCGTGTCGAACAGTACCTGCAACTGGCTGATGCTCTGGCCCGGGTGTCTCGTGCCATGCTGACCGGCGCACCCCAACTCCGCTTGACCCCCATCACCAAGCCGCCTACTTGTGCCGTTCCGTGCCTGGCACATCCGGAGCTCACCACAAGCAGGGCGGTGGAATTGTGAACAGGCAGGCCAGAACAGACGATGGTCGATCCACAACCGGTCCGGAAAAGCCGCTGCTCAGAGACAAACTCTGAATGGGGGTACCTAGAAGGTGGACAATCCGCGGAGGAATGCCAAAGATGAGCAATAGCAGCCCCCCTGTGCCGCACCCGGCCCAGCTCTTAAAGTCCAACCTTTGCCTGACACACCTGTGGTGCTCATCGCTGCTGTGATTCCGTTTTGCCTTTCGGAGGAGCGACTAGCATTTTCCCAACTGGGACACACCTCCGTGGTGAGCGACCGCCGCTCAGTTGTCAGGTCTGTTTCACGACAATCTCGACTGGCCCCAGGAGTCGTCATCGCAATTCCACGGATTACCTCGTTATTGAGTAACGAAATTTGTATCGCCGTTGGAGGACCCGGTAGCGTTGGCGCCGTCGTCGAGACCGCGCGGGCTCTGGGTCAAAGAATAGAGACTCAGAGTATTGCGCCATCTGATGTTCGTAGTGCTACGGACGTATGCCAAAAAAGACACCTCTTGCATGCTTCCGTGGGTGTTCTTCTTCAGCCCTTCAGGGCACAAGCCACTCCGCAATATTCGGGACTAACACATAGATCTGGTTGAACGCGGGAGGGCGTACACAGATGCTCTTGCTTTGCCACAAACACCCAGAGGCTGGTGATGATTATCAAGTCGTTCATTGGCGGTGGCTCGGGGTTTTCCAGCAATCCTTGCGCTCTAGATAGCGCGTGTTCTAGCACCTAGCAATCTAGCAAACGGGCTTATGGCACTTGCGGGGCCCGAGACGTCGGCTAGATCAGAGATCGAGAGCCGCCCCGGGAAGAGTAAGGGGTCAAGGTAAGCTAATACCGTTACATACAGCACGGATCGAGTACGTAGCTACTGATATTCTGTCTACTACGGCGGCCCAAGGTGTGGTACCATTCGTTCTAGGCTAAGCGACGGAGATGTCGACTAAGTGCGGTAATGGATTCGAGGTTTCGTAGGGAAGCCAAGGCCCCATTCAGATTACTTCTCCGCTGTCCTGGACACTGTTGGACCGTTCCCAAGAGCTCAGGCGGAAAGACACAACCTAGAGGGAAACTCCACAGTGGATTGGTTGTAGGGGTTTGCCGTTACGTGGTGATTTTGAGAGTCACTGAGAGCCAAATCTCGTTCCCCTTTCCCCGGCAGCGATCTACAGCGAATCTGGGTGGCAGGTTGAGTTACATCGCATCACGCTCTGGCAAGACCAGGGAGTGCCTATACCAAGTAGTAAGGTGCTGTATGATTTCGAGACCAGCAATGTTTCCATCGTTGTTGGCCATTCGTTGCGACCCTTCATGCTAATTCCACTTTCTGCTAGGGAAGCTTGTTGGAGGGTGACTGGCTGTTCATCTGCTGCTCATGGCACGACATTTCCTCCTTCTCGTACGGGAACCAGTCCCTGTGCGAGGGCTCGAGGGCATGTCATGCACTACCAAAGTCTAAAGAGACCCCAAAAAATCCCACGGCAAATCGCAAATCCCATGTTCTGTCTCGCCTACGGATACTATGTAATACTGGGGGGGCTCGAAGGGAACTGCCTGTCCCGGACGATATGCTCCACCTGGGCAGATTTGTCGTCCATCTCATCATTCCTCCAATTCCATCCCGTGCACGCGAGACGGCTGTCCAAAACACACCAACCACAGACGATACGCAGATTACGCAGTTACGCGGCTTTCCCAGCAGTGAGGGAGGCTAGCGCGCCGCACCAGCCTCTCAGCAGCTACACACGTTTGGACAGAAAGCCTAATGAGATTTGCAAGCGCTCGATCCAAGCCTCATACATCACTGGAAGCCCGGCAGTCTGGGAGAGAGGGACCATCCCCAAGCACGCACACACGGCACGCCGCACACCTCACTGAAAAGCTCAAAGGAGGGCGCGGGAATGACAAACTATGGAGGGGCGTGTGGCGCTTGTGTCGGTCTGGTCTAGTTCCATTCCCACACCATCTCCTATTTCGCATCTGAAGTAACGAAAATAGGGGTCATCGCCGTGGAGCTCCATGTTGATCGTCGATATACAACAAAGACACTATCAGGAAACCTTAATATTCCTTTTTGCCTTGGCCACCGATTAGTGATTACCGGTGTCGTTCTTACTCTCACTGACTGGCTCTCATCTTCTCTCGGACACTGCGCGCACTCGCATCCATCCTCCAAAAACTCTATGATCGTCAGATGTCCACTCCGTCGCAGATAAGCTTTGGGAGCATTGCTCACCATCTCAGTTGCCTTTTGCTGCGCGCTTCCCCATCGAACATGGTGCCCGGGCGATCGATCACGGTAGTGTGGACTTCGGTCGAGAATACCACGCTACGGGGCGGCCGCCTCTTGTACAGGAATGGCAAGGTCGCAGCGAGTAAGTCTTCGTGGGAGCCGCTTTGGCGGTTGGCGGTTGGCTTGGCTTCGAGCTCCAGGAGTGGGACGCGCCTCGTGTCTTCGTACTCCGTACTCGTACGGAGTAGTTCGCGACTATTTCTCGCAAGAATCGGGCTGGATTTCCTTGGCGCTGTCGCCCATTAAGCGACCAAGATGGCCAAGCTTTCCTCCAACATTCCTTGACAGGCCTGGCTCTTGGTTGTGTGGTCGAGTATGGAGTACGGTACTTGACTCACGCCCACCCCCTTACAAATAGCCGAAGTTCTACCTAGAGAGCACATCAACTGCCAAGTTGAGGTGAACCGGGGGCGGTGATTGGAGGATCGTCTCAAGACTTGTCGTCCCCATAGAAGATCTCCCAGTCGTGACTCCATTTACACGCCCTTTCCGAGCCTATAAGCAGTCCTAGGCCCGGGGTCCGGGTGGGCAGTGAAAAGAAGGTTTAGAGCCGCCGTGGGTGCAGATGCGGGTCTCTCTTTGTGCCGTTCTTGTCCCATGGATTCGCAACGCACCGCAACGCACCGCACGGGAGCGTACCGCAGTACGTAACGCGAAGCGCGGAGGTCAGCGGAGTCTCAGCGTGACGTCGGCCGGGGGGCTGGAGGCAGGGAACTCTGTGATGCGAAAGAAATCGTGCGTCTTGAAGATGTATCGGTACGAGTTCACCGCACGTCGCCGGGCCGGCATGTTTATGCCACTCAGCGAGATACAGGGCTGGGGCAGGTGATTATGGTCAGCATCACAAGGCCACACCTTACGAACCCTCTTCACGGCGCAGCATACGGACACCATACGGGGCACTTCGGCGAGTGTCAGGCAGCTCGGCGAGGCCAGATTAGAAGCTTGAGGCAGAGTCGAACTCAATAGGCGAGGACCGACTTGGTACTGTCAGAGAGAGAGACGAGAGACACGTAGCTAGGACCTGTCAGGCCGCCCACACGCCCTGCAAGAGAATTGGAGAACCGAAAAGTCAAAAAGTCTAACAAGTCGTGGAGTTGTAAGAGCATATGCTGCGGTTGCGCTGGGCAATGTTCGATCGTATGTTTTGTTCTAGAAGGTTTCTTGGACTCGGGAGTCGAAGGTGGGAGTACTCCGTATCCTATCTTCTCTTCTTGGGAACTACTGCGATGCTGGTCCTATCCTGCAGCCTGCAAACTGGGGTTAGGCCGGTTCGGCCATGTGCCGTTTTTTTATTTTTATTTTCACTTCCCTACGGAACGTCCTGCGGACTTGTACTGGGGGAAACCTTTAGGTTCAGGTACGTTTGGAACTTGGCGATGCCGCGATACTGCGTATGGAGTGAGGCATGCTCCCGCCGCTGCTGCAGCCTATTGATGCCATACAACACAAGCAAGGGGTAAACTCTACAAGGGACGAAAAATTCGTGGCTCTCTCTTCCTTGCTTCAAAGTGAGGCATCTCATGCAGAAACATGGCCTGGGGCTGCGGGCATGCGAGGGACGACAGGCTGCTGGGTAGGCCAGCATGGCGGGGTACGAATAGGTTCAGGCACAGCAGCAGCGGCGGCGGCGGCGGCAACAGCAGGGCCGTCGTCGCCTGATGGGCTCGATGCGAAGCACCTGGGCGGGCGTGATCTCGGTGCGAAGCGAATCGACGAAATGAAGCGCGCCAATGCAATTGCTACTGCCGGTGTCGGTGCCGATGTGCCGATGCCAGTGTCAAAGTTGTCAACCGATCGTGACCGATGGATGCTGCTGATGCAGCGGGAGGTTGCTTCGCCCATTCATTTCCTTTCCAACTCTGTCTGCTCGGTGTGTTGCACCGTTCAGACGGTTCAGCTGTCCAAGGGGTGTGGTGATATGGCTCAACGGCACGTTGGGTACAACACCTACAACTAGTCACCTATTGAGCTCGCCGAGAGCACAGCTTGCCATGGGCCATCGATGCGCGAACTTTGCATACTTTCAGCCGTTGGGTTTATTGCCTATTCCAGAGAGGGAGGGAGTATGTGAGTATATGCACACCGCAACGATTACCCTAGCCACATTCTGACAGTTGTCGCAGGAGAGAACTGACCAAAACCACACTCTCCATGAAGTTTGCTGAACGACAACCAAAACGCTGAAAGGGGTATCGGGTAGATGGTGTGACAGCTGGCGTTTGCCTGGTCCATGCCGTCCATAGCTAGGCCTAGGCCCTTTGGGTGTGTCTACGCAGTAAAGGAAAACAGGACGGGACGGTAAAGAGGGAGAGAGTAATTTGGGAGAAAAGTGTGGTTCAGGTACGTATACTCCCCTAGAGGCCAGGGTACCGTGACTGCTACAGGTATCGATGACAACAGCAAGAACAGAAGCACGAGGGCGGCGTATGCCCGAGGAGGGTCGGAGGGAAGAAGCAAAGAAGAGGGTGGGACGGGCCACAGGTGGGAAAACCTTAATTACCAAAAGGGGCGCGTACATGAATTCCGCATCTCTGGCGTTGTTGCTCTAGCCTCCTTTGCGGTTGGTGGGCTGTAGTCATCATTGACAAGTCAAGCCACACATCCTTCTCTCTTTTCTATGTGTGTGTGTGTCTCTCTCTCTCTCTCTAACATACACACCCTCTACAAAAGTCCGCTACAGAGAAAAGGGAAGCTATCCCGTCTCTTTGGGTTCCTTAGTCGCAAAGACATGTGATTGAGAGTCTAGGCATCCCACCACACCAATTTTGTAATTCCCAAAGCAATCACGGTGATAGTCGCCGCTGACGGGAACAAACGAAAGACTACTGAACTTGCTAGCTACGGGCGGTCGGATAGTATGTTGTGTAGTAGACAATCCGGTGTCGTCGACGACGACGAACCTTCCCACACGCCTCCTCCTTTTCCCCGGGGGTCTGGTGATCTAGCGTTGCACCACCGAATAAGGCGTATCGCGTATCGCGTGGCATCTTTCACGCCGTTCACGCCTACCTTGCGGATGCTCTTTTTCCATCCTTCACTACGCTTTTCCGTCCACCTTCTCGGCTTACAAGTTATAACTCTCTTTTCCGAATGGCGCCGCCGTCCACCCGCCGTCACCGCCGTAAGCATGTGTAGTCTCGCAGCACACCCCTAGAAGAGGGCAAGATTGAAAATCGAAAAACATAACGGGCATTTGATGCAAGCACAAGGCTTCAGAGGTTCATTCCAACCAAAGCTCCGTATCTAGCGTACGCCTATTCGTTGCTGCCCAAAAGTGCAGTGAATCAACAAATGCAAACGGGGGGGGGGGGGGGGGGGGGGGGGGGGGGGGAGACCATTCTTCCCCCACCGACCCGGGAAAAAAAAAGGGGAGAAGGGGGGGTGGGGGGCCCCCGGGGGGGGTTGGGGTGCTTTTTGGGGGGAGGGGGAAAAAGGGAGGGGGGGGGGGGCGGGGGGGGGGGGGACAGGGTGGTGTGATCGACATCATCGTCAACCGAACCACGGGAAAACAAGATGCGTAAGCTGAGTAGTAGGTCCCCCGTGGAAGTGTTGGACGTCTTTGACTGGCAAGGCAAAAGAGATGCGGGCGCTGAGATGCATGACATTTGCCGATTGACATGTTCATCCCGTCCGGGCGGGCGGGCAACTCACCGTCAAAGCTCTCTTTTTACTTTCTTTCCCCCCTCCTCGCTGTCACTTGTGTCTCGCTCGTTCGTCTCTGTCAGCAGGATCAAATCTTTTAATAATAGACTTTTTTAGGGATTTGCGAAAACTAAGGGGACCTACTGACGACGACGACGACGTCTTTCCGTTCGCACTCGCGACTTTGGATTTCCATCGTCTGTAGGTAAGTTCGGTTCGCAACCGGGAGCCTTCAAAAGTTTGCACAAAAACCTACAAGTCTACAAATGAAATAGCATGTATACGAGAGTCCACAATTGGTTAGAGGGAAGCTTTGGTCTTGGTGGTTCAAGCCTCTCTTTTGACCGTGCAACTAAACTCTACTCTTTTCTTTTTACCATCACTACTAGAGTTTACGTCTTCGGTCCACGGTCTCGTCCAAGAGTAAAGACTGTGGTCGGACGAGCAGATTGGGCAAAATGAGGAGAGGGAAAAAAGAAAGGGAGAGAGAGAGATTATAGTTTTGACCGCGCAGGTCTTGGACTCTATTTACGTGTCAAGGGCAAAAGAATCAAAGAGGCAAGTGGGCGAGAGGGATAATAAACTTCCGCACCACGACAGAGCACGTTCCTGCGTAACTTGTAAGAGGACCTTCTTGTTTACAAGATTTGATGCGGCTTTCAGGTCGATGTGATCATGCATATCGGCCTGACTTCTCACGGCACCTCCCCCCCTGGCCTGTCAACGAAGTCAGAAGGAATGGGAACGAGACTTTCTTTTTTAGGAGAAAAAAAAAACAACGCAAGTTGAGTCGATTCTTTTGCGGCGGTGAGGTAAGGTAAAACGAAAAAAAAAAAAAAAAATGAAAACCTGAATGTGGGATATAAACCTTAATTGCCTTTGTTCGCTCACCAACCAATGTATGAAGTCAGGAAGAAATTCTGCCCCCTCGCACTTGGCCCCACTTCCCACATCCCCAAACCATGGTTGTTTCCCCCAACCGTGCCACGGCATAGCAAAGACGTACATAGTACAGCCAAAAAAGACCGGCAGGCAAAAGGGGGGGGAAAAGATCTTTGCTTTGTGAGGCGTCGAAAAATTGGAGATGACTTCGACCGGTGAGGGGAATGCAAAGCAGGGGCGTGAGGAGGTGGGTGGTGGTGATGAGGGGGAGGCAGACAGGGGCGTGAATATGGGGGGACTCAAGGGCCAAGCAAGGTTTGGAAAAAAGTTTAGCATGCGTTCTTGATATTGTTCAAGTCTTTTTGTCGGGGCGTGGGCGGTCTTGTACTACCATGGCTTGAGAGGGATTCCGTGCCGTGCTGCACCACCAGAGTCTAAATATCGCTGGGTTGATAAGGGGCGTACGTACAGGTTTGCTTATTCAAGGGGGAACAGCGAGAAGGGTTGAGAGGGATTCCCAGGGCCGTTGTAGCGACGATACGGAAAGTATTTTGAAGGAAAGGGAAAGTGGGAGGGGCGTGAGCGTGAGCCGTGGAGAAAGTACACGCGTGCGGCCGTAACCAAGTGCGGTAGGAACTAGCAATGCCTTATTGTC